TTCGTAAACCTACGAAGTACTTCAAAAACTTACAATTAATAAACCTGCGAAGTACTGCGATGTACTTCGTAGGTTTACGAAATCTCATAATACTTTGAAGGTTTACGCTATGTAGGATTACGATCAGTAATACATACGAAGTACTTTGATAAAAACGTAGTTATTACGTAGGATTATAGCGAAGTATTTCGAAATATTTACAAATCGTAAATTTTTCGAAGTACTTCGCTATAAAAATTTTCCTAATGATGCTCAAAAGATTGGCTGAAATTATGACATAGTGTTAGCTAAAATTAATCGCAAATTCACTACGTCACTTGATGCATTTTTTTATCACAATTTGGTATTTAATAGGCAATCAAGTAGATGTAAAGGATAAGTCCCTCAATATAGAATTGAGAATCCATTCAGGTGCAGAATGCCAGCATTCTCGACATAAAACTAAGAATCCAAACAGCTACAGAAGGCCAATAACCGCTAATATAGAATTTGGCATCCATTAAGACGCAGAAAGTCAATATCAATCAAATAGCCACAAAGCAACAAAAAGATCGCAAAACAATGAAAACAAGCCGATAGCTATAAGGTAATAAATAAGTCATAAAGTACTGAAAATATTAAGTAGATAATAGTCTAACAGTAATTAGATAGTAGTCTAATAATTTTAGAACATATTAATCTAGTATAAGTAGGTTATCCTAGGACATATTAATATATTAATATATTAATATATCTTAGGATAACCTACTAAAGAAAATTATCACTTATAATTAATTATATTCTAGTAATTAGTTATACTTTCATAATTAATTCTACCTCGTAACTAATTTCGTAATTATGTTTTTTAAAAAAATAGTAATTAATTATCATAATTATATATTATATATATTCTTAATTAAGATAATTACCACTCTAAGTATATAAGTTACGAATTTAAAAGTAAGTTAGTGTAGTAGGATACAATCATATCTAAATTATAAACACGTAGAAGAAAAAGTAATTATGTTTTAAAGTTGATTAATTTATTTATTACTTGAAAACTTGTAATAAAGTTAAAACTTATAAAAAAGTTAATTTACAACTTGAGCAAAAAGTTATTCTATTTATATAAAATAAATTTATTACTGATAATTAATTGCTATGTTATAAACTAACTAAATTTGTAATTACAAATGCTAATATATAGGAGGTTTGCTATGAAAAGGGGCTCTAAGTATTTTTTATTAAAATTATAATGTTTATTGCAATTTAATCTAACATTATTAAAAATTAAAATGCAATAAAAATTAAAATTTTAATAAAAAATTCTCAAAGTCCATTTTCCTAGCACCTCCCATATATGAAATATATGAAATATGATAAATATAAGTAACATAATAATTATAACAAATATGATAAAAATAATAAAAATAATAAAAAAAGTAAAATAATAGAAAATCAAGGAAATTGTTTGATACAGAATTTGATAAACTTATTATGTTATCATTCATAAATTAGATTGATTATAAGATTTAATTATAATATATGAAAATATTTGCTTCAGATACATTAATTTAATCTTTTAATTCCATTTAAAGCAAATAATACATCTTTTATCTTTGGTTCCGATCATAATTTCAATTGATATTTCACAACATAATGTTACATCAAGTAATAAATTAATAACAATTTTTTTTAGAACCATATAAAATGTTCTAATTAAATAATTGATTGAATTTAATAAGGAAAGAACAAAAAAAATACTGAAATTAACGCATTGGTGATGAGATACTTGATTATATTCATAAAAAAGTATTTTTATTAAAAAGTATTGACGGCACAACAATATTAATAAGATACCTTTATTAGCAAATAAATAAAATAAAGTAGCGTTTACTAATTAATCAACAATGCAGTAAGTACTAAACCTTTTGTTGTCCTATTTTTATATGTTATTAATCATTTAATTATTTTAAAAAGAAAATCATTTTAAAAATTTATTGGTCAAGAACATCAACTAACTATATAAATTTGTACGCTCTAAGGTGAAGCCTGGGCGTAGTTCCATCAGATGATAAGCCTGAATACTGATCCAGAAAAAAACATCTCACCATTGTGTTTTAAAGTTGTCAATCCCCATGAGGATAGGACTAAACCTAAATATAAATTATTTATAAACATTACATAACATTTATATGGTGGGCTCAATATTTCATAGTGGAATTTGTGGAACGTTACTATAACTAAGCAAAATAACATAATAAGAAATTTTTACCGGTGATTTTATTGAATTCGGATTTATCACTAAAATAAGAGTTGATTCTAATAAAAAAAATTTTTTTTCCCTCATCAATCTATAATGGACAATTTGAATCGTAATCGTAATTTATCATACAATCTTTTTTTCCGTAATATTATCGAAATCTTTTTTAAAAGTCGATTAAAAATTTTCGACTAAAAAAAAAGTCTATCACACAACTCTTTGACGTTATTAAAGAAATCCTTACAATGTCACCACCTACTTTTCTATCCTTTTTGAATGCAACGGGAACTCTCCCAATCTTAACATATTGTGCTGCTAGCATCTTGATGACAGTTACAAACAAATATGTTTTGTCTGGTTATGAATTTAATATGAACTTTTTTCTGCTAGGAGTACAGGTTTATGTTCATTCTTATTATCAGTTGGTTTATTTTACGTTTATTGTAATGATTTACTGACCAATTTTTTAATCATTCAGTCAACAGTATGTATAGTTTTATTAAAAGTTTTTAAATTTATGAATTTAGTTTCATATAGAGAATTTGATTTAGCTTTATCACGAAAATGTATATATCGTTTCAACTTTATAATAATTCAATCAATTTATGTAATTTCTATATTAACATGTCTGAATGAAATTTACAGGGTTTCCTATTGCTGTGTTACTTGTTGCTATGATTTATACAGGAAGTAAAAGGTAAGATTAAATAATATGATAATTATAATTGAGTTTGTAATTTTCATCATTAATTTATTTTTTGTTACTTTTTTATTTAATAACAACAACAATAACAACAATAACAACAATAACAATAATAACGATCATCATAATATAGTTTACAATATCTTTCAATTCCTGTATACACAATATTTAAAAATTTAACAATCATTTTAATCGCATATGGAGAAGTATTATGGTTTGGTGGTAGTGTGTCAAGATTAACGATGGCAAGTTTCTTGTTAATGGTTTTTTCCTCTATAATAGCTGCGTTATCAGATAGTTCTAACGCATCTATAAAAGCTACGAGCATCAAATTTGATTTTGGTTATTTATGGATGGCATTTAATTGTGTTTCCTCTGCTGCATTCGTTTTAACTATGAGGAAACATATTAAATCGACTAATTTTAAAGATTTCGATACTGTTTATTATAATAATTTATTATCTATACCATTGTTAATAATAATGAGCCTTATGATGGAGAATTGGAGCAGGGAGAATTTTGAAAGAAATTTGTAAGTAAAGACAAGTTCTTCACAGAAAGAAAAAGTAAAATCAGAGCGACTACTAATTTAATTTGCAATTTATTTATAGACCTGAAGATGTGCGTAATACACTTGTTATAGCCATATTATTCTCAGGGATATCAGCATTTGGTATTTCATATACTTCAGCTTGGTGTGTGAGAGTGACGTCAAGTACAACCTATAGTATGGTTGGAGCATTAAATAAATTACCTGTAGCCGCAAGTGGAATGATTTTCTTTGGTGATCCAATCACAATTGGAAATGTTTCTGGAATATTCATTGGTAAAATTTAACAATCTTACGATTTCTTTTCTATCTTTTCTATATTTATCATATTAATTTTTTTTTTAAAAAAAAAAGGATTTGTCGCTGGAATTTTGTACTCAATTGCAAAAACCGAACAGCAAAAACCTACCAAACCATTATATATTCCGTTATCTAATGAATTACCAAAAACAGCGAATGGGAATAATAGAACTTCTATAATGCAATCAAATCCTCTTAATAATAATAATAATACAGTAATCAACATTGAAGAGAAAAAATTATCAGAGAAAATGTAAAAATTATAATATTAATACGTTTTTATTTTGTAAAATTAATAGAGTTTTTAATTTTACAAATTCTTTTCTACAAATTCTTTCTTTTTTTGTAAGATTTACGGTATAATTTATAAATTAATCTAATTTTAAAAAATAATTTATCAAATTTGAAATAATTTGATTTTTTCTCTTGCAAATTTATAATTAATTGACTCTTCTCTTATTAAGATATTGCTAAGACAATAATTTCATCACCTGATAAAAGATCATAATATGATAATTGTCTTAAATCATCATCCATTTCCAATTTTAATATTGTTGTCCCTTGTTCTTCCTAAAATATTTAATTTAATGTACAAAACCAAACAACTTAATAAATATATTCAATTTATAGTACTCACCTGAAAACTAGTTACAGCATATAATTTTTGCTGAGAAGACGGAATTCCAAATAATTTTTGAATTAAATTTTTTAAATTCCGAATTTCCATCGTTCCCAATAATTTCTTTGATAATTTTTTTATTGGATCATCTTTTAATCCAGTTCTATAGCTTATGGTTAACGCTATCAATCATTTTTTTCACTTTTAGTTTCTTTTTTTTGCGAAATTTCACCAATTTCATATTAAAAGTATTTAAACAAAAAATTATTATATGACACAAACCTAACAATCTATCCTTAAGAATACTACTTGAAGATTTTTGACTAATATCATCAGCTATTGGTGTACCATGTATTTCACATAATTCTTTGAATCTTGGATGATTTTTCTCTATCTCTTCAGTTAGTTTCATGTCTGTTATGCACAATTTAAGATAAAATCTTTCTGCATCTATTCTGTCTCCTGGAGAAATCTAAACATAAAGAAATTAGTATAAACCGTTAAAAAAATAATTCCATTTTGGTACCGAAAATATTCATAACATACATTGCTTCCATTCAGTAGTGTTAACCTTTTAATTCGACCAATTATCGATACATTAGCCTTATCCAATTTTTCATCTAAAGAAACAAATTATTTAATAAATAAAAATATTTATTATGTAAAATATAAATATTTTCATACTTGAAAGGAAAGTATTCTTCTTAATTCTCAATTCTTGCAAAGAAGGAAATTTATTAAGTTCATTAACGCTGTTCCAGTCGCCAATCTTATTATCACTAATATTCAAATGTCTTAATTTTGGAAAGTCATCTTCATTATAATATATCTGATCAATTGCATTATTATTGACGAAAAGGATCTCCAAGCTTTTTGTCCAAGTCAATAATAATTACAAAATCTATAGTTAGCAATATAATTATAATTTGAGATGACGCTATTGAGACTTTACAACATTTACCTTGGCAAATCTGAAAATCGTTCAATCTCGTTCCAGCTAGATATTATATTTGACTCCAGATTGATAATTTTCAATTTTACAAATCCCTTGATTTTATTGAGTTTTTTAAAGTTTTCTTTATTACTCTCATCAAATTCTTCAGAAAGTCTGATATTGTTAAATCCTAGCTGCAAATTTTCCAGGACAGAAAAGTTTTGTTCGAGAAGTTCTATCTAATTTTGCAATATAAATAAAATAAGCTAAACATTGGAATTGTACATACATACATACATATAAATTAAAATTAAATCAAACCTGCTTCCAAGAAATTCTGGTATAGTTGAGTGAAAGATTTTTCAGATTTTTAAAAGCATCCGGAAAAATGGGTGAATATTCCAAAATTTGAAACCGATTATAACTGTAAAATAACTAAAAGTTAAATATATTTTGTTATATAAACATGTTTTATAGACAACCTGAACTAAACACTTACTTTAAACGTAAAACTTCCAATTTCTTGAGTTGCTCACATATTTTAGCAACCGTTTCCCAATCTGATAACAAATTCTTTGACAAATTCAGATCAACAATATCTAAGGTGTTTAAAAAAAAAAATTGCATACATATTTAAAAAGTGAATGTTACCATAACGAATATTACATTTTGCTAGTTACTTGGACAGGTTGCTTCAATTTCTTCTGGCTTTCCGGCATGCGATATTTGTTCAAAGGAAAGCCCAACTTCATTTAACCTATCTAATTGCCTTTTAAAATCAAATAAAATGTAGTTTTTAGTAAAAATCCCCCAAAAAGTGTAATCATAATATTTACAAACCTTTGTTTTCGACGAATTTTTTCCCATCCTAATGCTTCTACTTCTAATTTTGTACCTGCCCAATGGAGTACATCTAAATCCTTTTGTGCGTCATATGATTTTTCTTCGTTTTCTTGAAGAGTCACTACATTTTCACCAATGTATTTTACAATAACAGCCTCGACAAAACTTCGACCAATATTTATCTTTGAAGAATAACGAATAAACGATCCACTATTAGGAACACTATAGAAAACATATTAATTGATTAATCATTGGACGAAAATTTTATTTATCGGTAAATCATTATGAGAATTTACTTACCTACAAATAAAATAACGAACACCTTCGTGAAAACCGTCATGTTTCCCTCTTGACACATGGTCCCATTCTACCCCTAACCATTCACCCTTTGTTGGTGGAACCTCGCCAACGTATCGAACAGTTGCCAATTGATCCTCAAACTGTATACGTTTATTCAAAAGGTTTTCTATATATATCGTGTCATTAGTTATATTACAAACAGTCCCCATACTATAAGTATCAAAACGGATATAAAATTGGTCGTTTTGTTTGTACTCGATTTTATATTTAATTCGCCGATCGGCGTAAACAGGTTGAAAATCATGATTAAGCAATTCTGGCTAGTGTATTTAAATTAATTTATTTAAAAAACCATTAATTACTTACGAAGAATTTTCTTCTTTAGCTATGACAAATCTCACTCGTGGTGTTTTTATTTTAACGTTATTTTTCGGGTTCCTGAACATTTTCTTTGCGTTAGGACATGAAGAGGTTTGTTTGTAACATTATTTTGAGGCTTGATTTTTTATTTAATTTATATTTATCATACATTTATATTTAATATATATATATTTATTTTGTAAATGAAGAATAGTGAGCTTAAATACACAGTTTATCATAAATTTCCACATCACACCGAATATTCAAAACGAGGAGAAATTTTACTAACAACTTCTCGTGCAACTGCAAAATATATTGGCAATGAGCCTGAATTATCGATCGAGGATCTTGATCATGATTATAAATCAATGAAAAGCAAATTTTATCTTGTAAAGATAGTTGATAATGAGAACCCAAACCATGTTACAAAATCTTTCACCTATTTGGTAAGTTACCTAAATCGATTTATTGATTTTTTTTTTTGCAAAGAAATTCTTAACAAATTTATTCAATTTATTTAGTGTTTGTTAAAATCTTCAAATCTTGAGGATGAGATTATAATTCACTTGGATAAGAATAACAGAATATTTCAATTTGATTATTACACAAGTAGCGATCAATGCAATAATACCATTGTTCCGGTAATTTAACTTATTGCGTTCTTTCTGTTTAGTTTTTATCTTACGTAAAGCATTATTAATATAGTTGGATTTATTTATTAGCAATCTAGAATTTTCAAAACAACTGTTCAAACCATCAAGGCGATAGATGGTGTTGTGTAAGCTATTTGATAAATAATTGTTATATCAAAATATATTATGAACTTAATTATATTAAAATATATATTATATTTTTTTTTTAAAAAAAAAACAATTCAAGCCCTAAACTAAACAAAGCAATGCCTTCGATAAGGGAAGATGGCACAGTAGAAAAACCACCCGAAGAAAAAAGCTTTATGCAAAAATACTGGCAAGCAGATTATTTGATTGAATCATAATTCTATGAAATATATTAATTTATCTTTGCATAATTAGGTGGTATTTCATACCTCTCGCTATATTGTTACTAACCGGAGGTGCAGCTGAAGAACCTCAACAAGGAGGACAACAACAACAACAACGAGGCGGACAAGTTGCTCGACCTGCACGTCAGTAATTCATTAATTCTAATCAGATTAAATAGATTGATCTCTAATCACAGAATTATTGAATTAGAAAAAATTTTACCAATAAAATTTTGAAAAATTTTTTAATTGTTCATATATCAGTACATAATTTTTTTTAATGCATTCAATTGCTTATACTGTATTGTAACAATGAATAGAACCATTCATCATAAATCAATAAATCAAATATGTCTCCTGAATTTTTTCGAGTGGTAATCCAATCAAATCCATGACGAAATTTCTAATTTTGAACTTAAAATCAAAAAGGTAATAAATCATTATAATAAATTTGGTTTCACAGTTAGAGTTTGGGGGTCTAGCTCAGATGGTAGAGCGCTCGCTTCGCATTATCGCGTGAATGCGAGAGGTACTGGGATCGATACCCAGGTCCTCCATTTGAATATAACTTTTTTTTTCCTAATATAAATAAAATACATTACACGAAAATTAAAATTTGATTTTTTTTATAATTATCGTTCATAAAACTTCGACTCTTTACAAATCATATACAAAATGGTACATGAATCTTTGAGATTGTTAGTATATACTTTTGACAACTAATGTTATAGGGAATGTACGTGAATATATAATTTATTTCATCACCTTTTATTTTATCACAGATACGCTACCAACGCTTCTTATACTCTAGTGCCCTATTACCTTGATCCAACTATAGCAGCTCAGACTTTAGTTATTAATAGAGAGTCTGGTGAATGCTTACTGGACGGTGCCAGTAAGTTTATTTTTTAAAGAGGCGTGATAATTTTAAATTTATATGCTTAGTTATCTTTTTTTGGTAATATACTTTATATATTGTTCATTACAAAGTACCCGACCCATCCGCACACGCTGAAGCTTTAACAATATATGGAGTTTTGGGTATTATCAATTTATTGGCAGGTAAGTTTGTCAAGGCAGAACTTTTAAATCTGATCCACTGGTTTAAAGTATAAATTAATTAATTACGGTTAAAAAATTTGATAAATAGGCGAATATCTTATAGTAATTACTGGACGAGAACGTATTGGAAGGTTAGGTAAACATGATATTTTCCATGCCAATCAATTCAGAATTCTCCCATTTGCAAAAAATAATAACCGATTATCTGAAGCGCAGGTATAGTTAACGATAGATCCGTAATCGAATCAACTCATTGCCAAAATAATTATTAATTCATAAATATCTTTAATTAGGCTCAGGATGAACAACGTTATCTGTCGCTAATAGAAAGTCATCTCAGATCTGGAACATACTATTTTTCTTACACCTATAATCTTACTCACACCTTACAAAGGCAGGCACAATTGGGTGACTTGGCAACAAAACCTTTATGGCAAAGGGTATGCAAAGTTTGGCTTATTTGAAAAGAACGATTCAGGATTTTTAAATAACGAGATTTTTCCTTGTATATTATAACAGGCCGATGATCGATTCTTTTGGAATCATTATTTACAGACAAAACTTATTGAAATTACCACTAACAATCCCGATCAGGATGTAAGCTTAAATTATTTAAATGTGATTGATTTAACATTACGTTAGCCTTAACAGCTAAATAATTATTTCAATAATTAGCTAAGTGACTTTATTCTTCCGGTTGTATCTGGATGTATGTATATTAAACATTTTTGAAAATCAATATTGAATTAGGATGATTCGGAATAACCATTCCATTTTTTTTTATTTTGAAATTAGTCGTTTCTATCGCACCTGTAAAAATTAAAAACAGGGACATTGTATTTTCTCTAATTTCACGTCGGAGCAGGTACCGTGCTGGCACGTACCATTTTTTTTTTTTTTTTCTTTTTTTTAAAAAAAAACAAAATCGAATTGGAAAAGTTTTTAAATATTAAAATTCAATGTTTTCATTTAGGAACGCGATTTTTTTCGCGTGGTATTGATGCAGAAGGAAATGTTTCTAATTTCAACGAGACTGAACAAATTGTTCTATCGGATCCCATTGAGGATGGTAATACACCCACTTCTTTTGAAGGCAAAATTAAATTGTCTTACGTTCAAACACGTGGGTCTGTTCCTATTTATTGGGCTCAAGTTAATAATATCAAATACACACCAAAATTGCAAATAATGGATGTACCTAATACGGTAAAATAAATATATTCTAATTTTTTAAATATATATTAAATTATTGCTAACTTATATGATTATTATAGCTTGAAGCTTTTCGTCGACATTTTGATGAACAAATAAAAATCTATGGAAATCAAATATTAGTTAATCTTGTTAATAAAAAGGGTTATGAATCTGCTGTTGGAGACGCGTACGAGAAGGCTGTAAAACAACTAAATGATTCCAGAATACGATACTGTCACTTTGATTTTCATCACGAGTGTAGCAAAATGCGATGGCATAGAATACAGATTTTGCTTGATACTATTGAGGAAGAATTAATTCAGCAAGGGTTAGCAAGAAAATTTTGAAATTTTAAAATTAACGACGATTCTAATTTTGATTTATCTTAGATATTTCTATGCTGAAGATTCACCTATCAAATTTCAGACATCTATTATTCGTACAAATTGCATGGATTGTCTTGATAGAACTAATGTTGTACAATCTACCTTTGCGAAATGGATGCTTACACAGCAATTGCGAGAAGTTGGTGTGTTAAGCAACAAGGAAAAAATTGATGAAATCGAAAGTTTCATGGATATATATAGAAATGGTATGAGTGAACAGGATTAGTCTATTACAGGCGTAACTTGATTACTTATCTTTATTTTTAATTGATAGTATGGGCTGATAACGCTAACGCTGTTAGTATTCCTTATTCTGGTACTGGTGCTCAAAAGACGGATTTTACTCGGTATGTCATTTAAGTTAGTAATTATAAGTTCCTATTTATGCGATATTAATATATTTTTATGTTGATTTAGGACCGGTCAGAGAACCAAACAAGGATATGTTACAGATTTACAAAGCGGTTTGACCCGTTATGTGAAGAATAATTTCATGGATGGTGCAAGACAGGTAAAAAAAATTTTTTTAAATGATTTATATTAGAATTTAATTAACTTTTTTAGTCGTCGTATTAATGAACTGTAGGATGCATATGATTTACTATTGGGTAATTATGTGGTAAAATATGGGGCCACATCACCCTGGATTGATACCCGAACGATGCAAATTAAATTGGTATGATTTGTAACTTTCTATATAGTAAAATTATATAAAAAATTCTAAAAACTTTTTATGTTAAAAGTTCTAAATTTATTATATTATATAGGTCCCACAAATTTTGCTTGCATGCTTGGCATTCTTAATATTTTTATTTATTCTTCCATCGTTTGAAGGTAATAATTAGATTAAGTCATTAATTCACATTGAAAACCATATTAACAAACAATTTTTTTTTTTAGGATATGCAAATTATTTTCGATTCTTGATGTTTATTGATTTAGTAGTGGCAGTGTTCCTACTTTGGTTTGTTCTGGAGAATGGTGGAGAATTTGTAGATTGGCCTAAACTTGTTGCAAGAGATTACCGAGTTTATCAAAGCAAATTTAATGCATTATCACCTTATAAGGAAAGAACGGGGCGAATTAACGATTTAGGATATGAAGAAAAAATTGAACTACAAAAAATCGAGTAGAATTAGCTTTAGTTAATTTATTTAACGTTAATCTTTTTATCTTTGCATTCATTTTTTTTTTTTTTTTGGATATTTTTGTTTTTTAATAGGCCATTTAGGTTGGTTATATCATAAAGGAATATACAATGTAATAATTAACTCAAAGCTGCACGGGCAATATAAACACCCATTGATATATATATTTTATCACCCTTGTTGTCTTTTATTAAATTTTTTCTTTTTTAGAGTATGAGAATATTTATTGTAATTTCTCTTCCGCGTTCGTTTGTTATCAATTATATAACGATGAGCAGAGTCAATTGTGCGTGATACATCTTCGAGAAAAACATAATCTAAAATATATAGTAAACCAAAATGTGATCAATAGTTAAATTCGATAAATAAGAATAAAAAGTTTAATACATACCACTCATTAAATTTTTATATCCATATTGTTCAATCGATACAAATTCAACTTTTGATCTTATACCATTACAAGAATATTTTTCTTTATGTAATTTACAACAATCCAATGAACACGAGCGAAAATCACATTTTGGACACTTGTACTTCCAATCGTTATCACAATTTTGGCATTTAGTTAAATTGGGTTTTTTTTGAGGTTGTTGCTTTGAAGTTGACGTTTTCAAAGAATCTGATAAAGCAGCAGTTGATATTCCCGAAAGTATTTGATCTGACGAACCTACAAAAGATTCGATTTAGGTTCATATTAATCAACTAAGGAATCAAATAAGTAATGAGTATCAGAAATTATTGAGCTCGCTAAATTACTTTTAGATTCTACAATTTCTTCGTCAGAGTCTACATAATCTTGAAGAATCAAAGCGAGTGGATCGGCAAAGTTGGAATAGTCCATAATTCAAATTAGTTGGAAATAATGTGAAAATCATCCCACCAGATTTTTATCTGATCATCAGTGTCATGTTACATATCAAATATTTATGGAAAGAGATAAATAAAATTAAACGTTTTCTCATTTATTATCAATATGGGACTCGGTTTTAGTTGTCTCGGCGCCGGGGCAGCTTCGTGGGTTGTCTCAGCAGTTGTTTCTTGCTTTTCTGCTGCAGCGTGTAACCTAGCTTGTAAATCATGTAATTGTAATAATTCAATAGCAACCAGGATAGGATTTGCAGTGGGTATATGATTTAAAAAGAAAAAATATATTTGTCTGTCTTGGACTAACGCTTCTTATTTTATTTTTAGATCATACTACTATTGAATTCTATGGTTAGGAGTGTAATGTAATCATTGTTGTCACCAGTTCGAATTTCATGATCTAACAAAACAATTATTTATTTTTCAAAGCTTGCATGGATAATGTTATCAGATTGGGCTATAAAGCAGCTAGAGAAGATAACGTATGATTATTTACATCTGAATTGTCAAGATGGAACATGTTATGGAGTCTTTGCTGTAAGTATAATGAATTCGATTCTTTTTATTGATTTATTCTAAATTAATATTCCGAATGATAGGTTCACCGTATTTGCTTTGCATTATCATTTCTTCATCTTCTTTTGGGACTTTTGGTAATTGGAGTAAAGGATACACGTGATAGTAGAGCTGCGATCCAGAATGGGTATTTTAATTATAAAATTTAATCATAAATTTTATCATTTTTTAAAAGGAAAAAAAAATAATCTTTCAATATCATATAGCTGGTGGGGACCCAAAATATTGATGTGGATTATTCTTATAATAGCATCATTTTTCATTCCAAATCAATTTTTCATGTTCTGGGGCAATTATATTGCCTTGATCGGGGCAACTTTATTTATTCTAGTTGGTTTAGTACTTTTAGTTGATTTTGCTCACACATGGAGTGAATCTTGCATAATGAAATGGGAGGAGTCTGATAGTGACAAATGGAAATATATTCTTATCTGTTCTACAATGACCATGTTTTTGGCTTCAATTGTGCTTACAGGAATAATGTATGGCTTTTTTGGTGGATCCGGATGTGGCCTGAACCAGTTTTTTATCACCTTTAACCTTATATTGTGTATAATTGTGACATTTTTGAGTATTGCTCCTTCTGTACAAGAAGTTAATTCACACTCGGGATTATCACAAGCTTCGATGGTGGTTATTTACTGTACATATATTATTTTAAGCGCAGTTGCCAATGAACCTGATGATAATATGTGCAATCCATGGATAAGAAGTCGTAATACACGTACGGCTACTATCGTTATTGGAGCTTTATTCACATTCTTGGCGATTGCATATTCAACCTCAAGGGCGGCAACTCAAAGTAAGACATCGATTACATCATTTGATTGAAATTTCATTCATTAACGACTAACTTGCCTATAGGTTTCCAATCACAAACAAATTATGACGCTGTCGAGAGCGGGTAAGTGATCTCCTAAGTAATTGGAAGTGTCGTAAAGTTTTGTTAAATAACTTGATTTATTTTAGCATAATGCCAGCTTCAGCTGTGGATGATGACGATGAACATGGCCTTGATGATGAAAAGAATGGAGTTGCATATAATTACGGATTCTTTCACCTCATATTCGCAATCGCTTCCATGTATGTCGCGATGCTTTTAACGAATTGGTAAGTATATAAAAAAAAACTAATGGTATTTTTTATGAGTATAGTTGATTTTCTTATAATTTTTTTGCTATAGGAATCACGTAACGACCACTGGATCCGATGAACTCGTTATCATTGGGCAAACTTATGTCGCTGTATGGGTAAAAGTTGTTTCCGGTTGGATTTGTTTATTATTATATGCGTGGACACTTATTGGACCAGTTCTTATGCCAGAAAGATTTGAGGTAATGTTATAATCGATAGAAAACTTTATATATACATATTTACTATATTTATTTATATTCATTTCCCCCCCAAAATTAAAGAATTATTATTAAATTAAATGAAAGTTATTATATATGTTTTTTATTATAATTGTAATATATATATATTAAAAAATACTACTTTGATCTTATTAAAATATACAATATTAATGACTCGAAAATTAAATGAATACATATAAAATAATAAAATAGCTCTAAAGTTCACACAAGACAATGGTATATTCTCGAACGAGGATTTCTGCTCGATTACACAACGTAATTTGTCTTTCAAGGCAAAGAAACAATATAATGAAACGATTTGGTTCACGTTTTATAGTAAAAAAAAGGTAAAAAAGCTTTTTTTTCAATATCATTGAAAAAATTTATGCGGAAAATATTTATGACCTGGTAATGATAATTAAGGATTTTCTTAATTGATCTGGTTCGTCGATCCCAATGATTTATTATAATGTGTTCGGTAATTTATCTTGTTTCACAAACAATTCAAGTATCAATTTTGACTATAGATAGATTAGATAAGTATTAAATACAAAAATACAAAGGGAATTAGGAATTGTTTTCACTGCATGATACGGCATATAAATTTAACCAAATGGAATTTTCAATAAAAATAACTTCCGGAAATGACCGTAAATAGTACCTAAATGAGAAAAAAGATGGTTAAAATTCTTCCAAGGTGAGATTTATAACACGAAATTGTCTTTTGTAATTCGGAATATCGGAACGATTTATTTTTAATACAAAAAAAAAAACATGCGAATTATGTTACACGTTATTGTACAAATAGTTGTTCTTTCTAGTATCTTTTCGTATCGCTTATCGGTTTCATATAAAAATACTTCGTTAATGATATCGCCATCATTTCTTTCCCTTCTCTTCTAATTTTCCCTTTTTTATCAGATGGGAATGGAAAAACAACCAAACCTGTCAAATTATACGAAAAAGCAGATGCGTAAATTACGCTTTTTTCCTTTATTGGTTGTGGTATTCGTAATATCTTTTTTCACGATATCGCATTATAATCACTCGAGTGATAATGAAGAATTTCCATTTAACGATAAATTTGGGGGAAATGTACAGGATATGAAATGCCCACAATATAAAATCATGCTGCTTATTTATTCGGAAGCGGAAGATATTGATAAACGTGCGTTAATGAGAGAAGGGTTATTCGGTATTACCGACAACCTGGTCCCTTGCATGAAACAAGATAATGGAATCTTTTATCGATTCCTCGTAAAGAAAAAATTAAATAAATACATTAATGAAGTTGTCCTGAGAAAATATATATCAGAACAAATGGAATATGATGATATTGGAGAAATTGAAGTTTTGAAGGGTGATTGGCAACTATCCGCGCTTAAATACGTAAGTGCTGAAATTATTAATAATTTTTTTTTTCTATATATTTTGCCAATCAATTAATCTTAAATTTGTTTCTCCGGTGCATTTTATTTTATTTTGGAAAAAGTCACAATTATTAAAACAAACGTGCATGTCATTCGATCATTTAGTGTTGACTGAAGTTTACACGATGATAAATCTTGAAAAACTTCAAAAGAAAATCTCCTCATCAAAAATAGCCGACCAAAGGATTTCAAGTACACAAAAGCTTGTATGGGGTTCGTTCAACTCCAACATAACGGATAGGATGGCTGTAATAATGGGATCTTCAGCAGTACAAACTATCTTGGATAATTCGGAATACGAATCAACAAATGATACTAGCGTTATCACCAGATTTTATCATTATCATTACAATCATAAAACCAAGAAAATTCCTAATGATTTGATTTTAGCAAATGATCAAATGGGTATAATAGAATGGCCAAATTCGATCAATAGCATACCTTGCATAGATTGTGCAATAGCCATAGGTCACATCTATCAGGAGTGGGAATTTAGGAAGATTAAGAATGAACTGAACATTTCAACAATAAATCCTTGCAATGTACGATCTGACCTTAAAAGATATTCAAAGGGGACGATGAGTAAATTAAGATCAAAGATCGTTGTGGCGACGAGTAGCTTTTTATATCATGATAATTGTATGTTGGAAGCCGCTTCTCTTTCCGCGCAAAATAAACGTGAATACGCCGAGAAGCATGGGTATGCTTTCGTGCCTCGTTCGAGCGAATATGCTCAACAAAATTATCGAAGAAGAAGAGAAGTTTGGGGCAAAATCGACGCCGTAGAGAAGATTTTGCCTTATTATGAATGGTTAATTTGGTTAGACATGGACGCTATCTTTACCAATAGAAATCTATCAGTTGAACATTTGTTGGAGATGTGTGAGGAAAGGGTTGGTGGGAAAGAAGCATTTGATAAAATCAATTTCATTGTGGCTAGACCCGTTGGAGATGACATGATAAACGCTGGTGTTTTCTTGATTAGAAATACCGAATGGGCGGTAGATTTCATCAGAGAAGGTATACAAGCTAGGAGGGATCGTGCATATCGGGGTATGAAAGAACAACAAGCCATGCGTGACGCAATTAAACAACCAAAATGGCAACCAAATGTGAGTAACTTTTCACCTTTTAAGATGGTAACGGGGGTTTTTATCTTTTTTAGAGTCTAAACCCTAATTTCCTTTTTTTCCTTTAGGTGTTGTATTTAGATGGGGATGATCATACTATAAATACGTTTCCTGATAGATACATTATGGGTGATTACATTGTACATTATGCCCCTGAAGAGGGGTGCCCTGCCAATCCTGTAATTAACGGCATAACAAAAGTTAGAATGATGGAGCAGAACCCTGACATTGAAATCTCAATACCGTTCTGATCGACTCTAATTAATTAAAAAATAATATATATATGTAATAGGTAATTCGTTTTTAGATTTTGAAATATCACGTGCGATTATGGAGAAAACCGAATCCAAATTTGGTAATTGGGAATTGGGGTTTATTTCTTTGTTCTCAAGAATTTTTAAAAGCTGTTGTATATAAGAAATTAATTTTTTTTTTAAAAAAAAAAATAAAATAAAATAAAATTAATTATCATAAAGTAAAAAAAAGTCCAAAAGAGAAAATCGATTGACAATTAATCTTACCAATAAAAACGAACAAGTAATATCTATATTTAGCATGTTTGTTTACATGAATTAAAGTAACGCAGAAATTTCTTTGTTCACACTTTTTTGATATCCCTTTACATTTTTGTTTTTTTGTACAAAAAAAAATTAAAAAAATGTTTATAAATGGTTAAAACCAAATATGTTTGAGAACAATATTTATTTTTTACAATAATGATCAAAATCAATTAAGAATACAAGATATAGAAATAGATAAAAAATGACGTAGATACATTTACGTTTATAGGACAATGATATCATTAAGACAACCCGTGTGAAACGATTAAAGTTTACCATCGAATGTTTCAAATTTGTTTCTCAAGGTAAAAAAAAAGCACATGTGGTGATTAATGAATTTCATGGGGCGTTTTTCACCATTATAAATTCGCAAAAGATAATGTTTGTTTATTTATTTTTTTTTCTTTTATGATTGTATAAACTGTACAAGGGAGATTTTTTTGGGGGGGGGGTTTGATTTTTTTCAGTTTTTTTTTTTTTTTTTTGTTAAAAAAAATTTACAACGCATTTTCGAAATGCCATAAAATTATAATTAACTAACTATAATATCGATAGGAATAATTAATGATTATTAAAAAAAAATAACGCGAAATAGAAAAAATTTTTTTTTTTGTTTTATAATAAAGAAATAAAAAAGTTATTGAGATTCTTGAAATTCCCGTGACTCCCGTGACTCCTGTGATTGGGAATATAATTTTTCTACCAAGACCCTGTATTCATTTTCCATAAATTTTCTCAATTTTGATTCGTCCCCATTCGAAAATGGTTGATCATATAAGCGCCACTCCGCGTTATATGAAGGACATTGTCTCAAGAGTTTTGGATCATACTTGAACAAACGAAGGTTTTCACAACCGTCTTCTTCGATCGTTTCGGATTCCAATTCGTGTAAAATATCGGTCAATTTTTGCTTCCTTTGCGCAATCGTCACTCGAAGTTGTTTTCGATCGCTGGCTTCCCGGTTTTTTAGGTCGGCCAAATATGTAGTAGTTTCAGGAGTATTATTTTTGTTTTGCGGAGCATTACCACTTTAGTTTTTTTAAAAAAACAAAGGAAAAAAATTAGCTTTTTTTTTAAAAAAAAAAAAAAAAAAGGGGTGGAATAAATCATCTCGAGATAATTACCTTACGAATCTTGGTTTGTAACATTCATAGCATGAGCGCACTTGGTATCGCCAGTATACGCGCACCCAATTTTTTCTTTTTCCGCAAAATTGACAACCTCGTTCCAACATTGTTAATCCGATATATTCTTGTTCAGTTAGAAGATATGGAGGGGGTAATTGAAGGTAACGCATGTGTTGGAGCCTTGAATTACGCCATATCGATTGTACAGCGGCATCATCAGACATGAGCAACTCTCTCAACCGCTTGCAAGTTCCAGCGAGGGAAATTAGTTCATAAGGGGTAAAATCTTTGCAAATTAACAAAAGGTATTCGACGGAGATATCTTCAAGTTTGGAAAATTTATAAAATTCCTTTGTAACATTGAGGTCTAGAAAAGATTTTTCTTTTGTTGATGATGAAGGAGAAAAGAATTTGAGAAATGGGTTTGATAAAAAACTTTCTCTTGTCGTCTTCGTCTTTGTCGTTGTCGTCGCCTCTTTGGTTTTTTTGCTTGAACGTAATAATCTCTTTGCTAACGGTCTTATCGCCCAAGGAATATATTCTTCAAAAGGTGAAACAACATTTGGTGCCATTTTCTTAAAAGAATCGTTAAACAATAAAATAAAATAAATAATTATTTTTTTTTTTTGAGGGAAGATTACTTTTTTGGAAAAAAAAAAATTTTTATTTTTTTTTGGGGGAATTTTGAAGATTTGGGCAAGGTATTTTATATATCTGAGACTTTCATTTATTTATAATATCAACATAAATTGTAATTAATCACAATTGTCAATGAAACAAAAAAAAGGTGATGTACTACCAAAATATATGCAGGCTAGCTACAAACAAATTCGGGTATTTACCGATTCTATGAAATTTTTTCCAACAGAACCTTTTCTTGTGATTGAAGATTCCGAAAATATTCAACTTAATAACTATCAAATTAAAGATTATAGAATCTAATACTAGGAATGGTTAATCTTTACAATATATTTTAATATATTCACTCGGCTGTGTCCTTTAAAGATTACTCCATTTTGATTTTTTGATTTTAACATATAAAAAAAAACTGGTTTTTTTTTCATTCGCTTCCGTCTTTAGGTCGTTCTTTATATTCAAAGAATATCATTGAAAAATGGTACTATTGATAATGCATCGAATTGTAGAAGAATAGAACAAATATCCCTTTTTTTGTTTTAAAAAAAATAATAATTATAATTTATAAATAAAATAAAAATAAATAAATAAGCAAAAGAATGCACCCAGTTTGATAAACATAAAAAAAAAGGGTGATTCATTCAGGAGAAACCGCGAGAGAATCCTTTTTTTTTTTTGCAGGTCAAGCAGTTAGGGTTCGCCCTTTTTTTTCGATTTTCAACTGGTACTCCTTTTGAATTGGTTCATTATATTTCACGCGAATAATCTTATTAAAAGTGATGCACGAAATTATTTTAAGAAGCGAAAAATGTCGTACAAAAGCGGCGCACATTCTCATTGGTCACATCCGGTGTGATTATTAACTTTATAGGGAGGGACAGACGATTTGTAAAACGATTTAGGTGCTGATAAATGATAATGCAATAAAATAAAGATAAACGAAAATTATTTCGAGAGATCATCTAAAAAAATTCTATAAGGTCCGCAGCAAGACACCCTTCGCTAAATCCACATTCCTTTTCGTTTAAATAAATGCTTCAAAACGCATACACATGAATATGCATGGGTATTGCATATGCCTTCATTATTATTACAGAAGGCAGGTTTCGTGTTCCGGCAGGAACAGGTGTTTCTCGATCAAATGATATTTTGGTTAAATTAAGGACGATTATCCCTTTAATTAAGAAAGTTGGCTTTGCTTGGGGACGCATACCTACACTCTCCTTTGCTTTTTAGAAAACCAATTTTTAAATTAAATGATTAGGTCTATGATATTTAACGACCGTTTTTTTTTTTTTTGTTGAAACGCGTAATGCGAAGTAAGTATTGTCATTGTCTCAAAGCTTGTTTCGTGGGATAGTTTTTTCTCATTTTTTTTTCTCATTTTTAATTTTTTCCCAGCATGAACAGCAGACAGCAGATACATATCGTTAACTTGTTTTAAATGATGAATCCTAAAATCATAAGATCAGTGGAGTAACTATTTGACGCAATTGCATGAAAAAAAAAGGATGCATTCGATCGAATTCAAAGTTGCATTTCATAAATGAGAGAAATCTCGAATAAAATATACGGATAATGATAAACTCGATTGGTGACGACACATCATTGGCTGTTAGATTTGATGTGCGTTATTTTTTCTTTTAGGGATGAAGTACCAAATCAAGGATGGATAACGCCAGTACTACTGAAACCAACCGATGCACAACATGGTTGAATTAACTTTAATGGGTTCATAATTTTTACCCGCTATTTTAGATCATTTTTATTTTAATTATTAGTTAGGTTTTACAATGAAAAATTCATCACATGCTAACGTAAAGTGTTTAATTAAGGGCCCCTATACTTTTACACAAGAACAAAATATCGGCTGAAAATCGTCACTTGATTGTCATTCAACTAGCCATCTTTAATAAGATTCAATTGTTTAAAAAAATTTGTAATATAATATCAATTCTGAGCTAGATTACAATTTATTGATTCTTTTGTTTTTGGGTGGTTAAATAGATGATAAAAATATATTTTTTTTCTCAACTATTTTAGTGCATATCTTGATAGATTAAAAAAGGATTGATTTCCTCGTGAAAATGTAGTTTTTAAGTTTATTTTATCGTTCATGGCAATGCACTAAACATATAAATGACGTAAAACACAAATATTCCGACCAATATTTTGTCATAATATAATTAAAATATATTTACACATTAAATTGTATTAAAAAACTAATCAATTAAACGAAGTCTCCGAGTATTTATAGTAAATCACTTGTATTCCCTTTATTAAAAAAGGGATTTGTTTTAGGAAATGGTTTCCTTCTCCTTTGATAACAAAATCTTAGGAATTAGGAATTGAAGAATATTTGTCCCACATTGAAATCTAAAAAAAGAACACTTATTTTCTCAATGATTGAAATAGATCATCTTATAAAGTTTCGGATTATATTTATACTATCTAAGCTATCTAAGAGAAATTGAAAATCGAAGTTATTACATTTTATGCAAGATGTAATGGTAAACATATAATAGATGTTCCATTCCGAACCTTTTTTGGTCAGAATAAATTTATTAGTTCGGTAGAAGACATGTTACGATATAAATCTTAATTGAACGTGTTATAATATAATCATTATTTTATAAATATTTATCAACCAGAAATTTCATTTTAATTAGTGCTCTACCTACCTTTCGTTTTCCATAAAATTCGCCTTTTAAGATTAATATACTGTATAAATGTAATAAATGCTTTTAATAAATAAATGCATTAAATGCATCTTTATGTCTTTTTATATTCTCAAAGTATTTTCAAAACATGATTTTTGACGTATGGTTGTTCAAATCTTGATCACTGAGATTCGTTTGTCGGTTCGTGCACATGACCATTTTTTTTCGCTTTTTAAAATTCCTTTATATTTATTATATTTATTAAGCATTAATGTTTATTTGTTTACTCAAAATTTAATAAGTACAAGTTAATTTACAAAATATTAAAAAAAATAATTAATCAAAATTCCATCCAATTAAAAACCGTTTTGATGAGGACCAATTGACTTGATATTCAAAAACAAATGGGTTGCAAAAAAAAAGTGAAAATCTAAAAAGTTTGTCCAACTTTCTCCTTTAGATTCAATGAACCAATAAAAGATAAATTATTTGACCAAAACTTAGATTTCTATCTTTTTTTTTGACAAACGCTCTAAAAGATGATGTTTAGACGAACAAGTTTCGGTCGTCGATCTGACGACCACCTGACCGATCCGACCGGATTCGAAGACCACATATTTGTTTGAAATATTATAATTTACCAAGTTCAAAAAAAGAAAAAAGAAACAAAAACGGAGTTTACTCTTTTGAAATAATGACGCGCAATTTACCTTTGAAAAATAATTAATAATCCTAAAATTTAGGCGAATCCTAAAACCAATGAACCAGATTTAATCTATCGGTTTATTACATTTAATAGGTCAACATTGTCATTATATTTCCACAACGATAATAATTTCGTTAGTCGCTAATTTTAATTGGGATTTTTATGGCGATTAAGAAAAAAAAAAGAAAAAATTCACACGAACCAAGTGAAACATTTAAAATCATGAGCATATATATCCAACAAAGAAGATGAAATTTCTCAGTAGTGTTACCATCACATTCTTTGTAAATCAACTTATGGTTAGCGCCATTTAACTTAAAATCCGAAAAGTTCTTTGTAAACGTTACTTATTTTGGAAGCTAATTTCCTTTTTAGGAAGCTTCGACTTACGAATCAAATCAAATTTTTTTTTTTTTTACTTTGATAAGTTACGAATTTAGAAATAATTTACCTCCAAATGTAATTTAAGGGGAGTTTCAAACAACAATCTTTAATGGTGCACGGATATAGAATAATGATTCTTGTGATTTTCCGTCATCAAAAAACATCAAAAATCGTTTTTTTTTTTTCCACGTATATAAAATTGAGATTTTTTATTAAATTTTCTAATTCAAGTTTTTTTTTTTTTTGTTTTTTTAAAAAAATTTTTTTTGGAAAATGCTTATCACACTACCTGCCACTATTCTTGAACACGACATCCCATCTTTTAATGTAAAAGAACAAGGAAAAGTCACTTACAAGGTTAGTAAAATAGCCATGTTTTCTTTCTCGTTACAATATTTACAATATATACTGTATATAAAATGTATTTAACAAGTATGTTTAATTATTAATAGCTTATCAAATTATACACTTTTGATAACAATGGTGAAAATAATTCGGCTTATGCCTATGACTCCAACGATAAAACAGACAAAAACAAATCTCACACACAATTATTTTATAATTTAACCGATAAAAAAAAGTTGTCAAAATGTACGCCGTCATATTTCCGAGAGGTTTTTCGACCAGATGAAAGGTTTCATAATTTACATTGGTATACCGAAGCGCTCAAATCGGTCTCCTCATCCTCAGAACCTACGAAATTGTGGACGATTGATCAAGTGAAGATAAAAAAGTCCAAATTTAGTAAACAAATTAGAAGACCAAGATTATTTTCAATTAGTAATACCGAATTAGGTAATTCGGTATTCAAATATGATAGCAGTAAGAACGAGTCAAAAGGTTATTCCGGTTATATCGCTACTCCATGTGATAATTCTTGTATACAAAGGTATAGATGGGTGAGATATAAAGATGGTTCTGGATGGGCGTTTATTGCCAGGAATGATCCAAATACAATCTTGGTTGAATTTCTTAAAACGGATTTTGATCATGAGTTTGATATAATATTTTTGAAAAATTCTCCTCCGGGTTGGAGGATTTCAAAAGATTCAACGAATTTTGATAAACCCGCTCAATTTATGGGAAGGTATCCTTCTATATTTTCTAATCCTTCAACAATTCGATCCTCGACAACCTCAGGACTTCTCTCAAACGTTTCAATTCGTGAATCAACGTTCTCTGATATTTCTACCGCTTTAAGCGTAAATGATGAAAGTGTAGGAAACGGAAACGGCGGAAAGATTTCTAACGTGAATTCTCTTTATTCTGAACGTAATTTCACTTCATTAGGAAATTTAACTAAATTTGATCCCGAAAAATCTTGGCAAGAGTATGTTTTGGCTTCAACTGTTGCCATTCAAGATGAGGTTAATCAAAACAAAAGAAGATTATGGAAGAAATGAAAACGAGATTAGGAACCTTTCTCATTTTCACTCTCACTCTCACTATCTCATTCATATTTTCAATGTAAATTAGTATATTAGCATACATAACTTATTTAAATAAATTGTATTTTTTTATATATATATTTCTCTCGTCTCGTGATTTGAAAACCTTTACGCGCAAATGTATGTGCGACTTTAGATCACTTTAACATAAAATGAACGCGGTCTCATTTACTACAAACGTATAATAATTAATTATAAATTTGGGTTTAAAAAAGATTTTTCAGTAAATCTTTGCATATTATTGTTTAAATTTTATGTAACCAAGTTTATTAATTATTAAGTTTCTCACAATGATCAGTTCGGCTCGAATTTGAAGCGCAGCTAGCAAGAGAAACTGCCTTTTTCAATTCAAGTGGATTTCAATTTCAATTTACCTTTTTATCGCTTTTATTTACGATCATGCGATCATCATGCATAAATGTATTGCTGAGTTAATGTACGAGAACAAAGTGAAAATCTAAATACATTCATGTTTGAACGTACGAGTTAAAAAATTTTCGAATATAAAATTCATAAATGGATATATTATGGAATGGTTACAAAGAACTAAAAAAATGTATAAATGATGTTCAAAAAGAATCTACAAATCTTTATCTTTTTTTTCCCCACCTCTCTCCCTTCCCTTCCCGCGTGTGAAATGACTAGTATAGCACTTATTCCAGAGTTATTACAAAAAATCCTTTCTTATCACAAGGAAAATCCCAAAATAATTTTTAAATGCGCTCTAGTATCAAAAAGTTGGTGTGACACAGCCATACCATTCTTGTGGAAAAAACCATTTCGTTTTTGTTATTCAACTTTTCATTATAAGATCGTTAGAGTTTACCTTCAATTTTTACACAAAGAATTTTTGGAAAAATTTGATTTAAATCAAATCATATTTTCTGATAATTCTTCTCCTCCTTCTTATAATTATTTATCATTCTTACAAGAATTCGTTTACCTTACATTATATGAATCCCTTTTAAATTTATTAAAGAAACAACGATCTTATAAAACATTATCAACATCCGAAAAAGATCAAGATGATCAACTTTGTCCAAGCTTTCATCCATCTAAACAATTCATGATCAATAAATTGTTGCCTATTTTGAACGAACTTTGTAATTTATTCATCAAGAATGGTACAAAAATTCTCAATTTTAACTTATCGGCACTATACGTTAATTGTAGTTGTAAATGGTTTCCTTTAAACGATATTAAACTTCCATTAAATTCATTATCATCAATTCAATCATTTATTTGTGATAATAATGGATGTGATTTTGGTGATATCGTAATGGAATTAAGTAAATATTCAAGAAATATTTTCTCAATAGAAATAAAAAAACCACAATCCCATCAAAATATTTCTCAATGGGTAACGTTAATTAATTCACAAAGATATTTACAAAAGCTTAAGTTGGAAATGTTTTATAGTAAATATTCATCAATGATCGCTTTGGCTATCCCTTCACAATATCATTCTCTGAAAGAGGTTGAATTGACTTATTGTAAATTTTATCAAGCGAGTCTTTTGGATGAATTATCATCTTGTCCAAATCTTATTTCTTTAAAAGTTAAAGATTGTTCATTTACCGAAAAATCAAAAATCATTAATCATTTTGTATCATTAAAATCTTTATATGTTTCAAAATCTCAATTACCACAGGAATATTTTTTAGCCATGTTAGGAAAACCATCTAAATTAGAAAAAATTACACTTAATTTAATAGATTTTTTTAAATATCCAAAGATCATCCCATTCATTTGTTTAAATTGTTTTCAATTAAAAGTATTAGAAATAGTTTTGGTAGAAGAAACATTTGAAAAGCTCATACCAATAATGGAAAATTGTCAATTATTAGAGGAGATATCAATTTGGGAAAAATTTGATTGTATAGGTCATGAATTTTATGATTATCATGATTCTTATTTTGGTAATTACATGAATCCTAATTTAGTTATAAAAAAGATTTCAAATTGTTTACCAAGAAATCTCAAAAAATTGCATTTCTCTCAACTTTTTAATTTTACCTTTGAAGATATTCAATATTTTATTCAAAATGCTCCAAACACTTTACAAGATTTAAAATTTTATATTATAGTTAATGATAAGAATAATGTGATTAATCTTTTAGAAAATTTTGCTGGTAATCGTAAATCAATTATTAAACATTCTGAATCTAGAATCAATTATAGTAAAATTATTCATCATATCTTTATAGCTAAATTTTTATAATTCAAATAAAAAAATATTTAAATTTTCTTTATTTTATTATTTGTAAAATTTATATCTTAACTGTATATAAATATAATTCTTAATTATATTTAAACTAATTTTTATTTTTATTATAAGATTAAACTAATTAAAAGATTAGTTTAGCATAAAATATGATATTGCAATTACAAAAAAAAATATCACAATTATATTGCAATTAGAGATAGGAGTTAAATAATAATTATTAATTAACCATTATTTATGTTAATTAACTTTAAATTTGATTAATCGTTAATTATAAATAACTAATCAAATTTAAGTTAAAATAATCTATGATTAATTATAATTAATACTAATATAAAATAAAATATAAAATATATATATAAACTAAATCATAAATAACAGTTATTTTACCTCTTTAGTTGTAATTTATGTCACAATTAAATTTATTAATATCACAATTAAGTTGCAATTCAAATAAAATTTAAAACTAATTATAGAAACTATCTTTAGTTTAGCATAATACTCTTTTTAAGTTTTCAAAGTAAATTTTAAATAACATTAATTTATATATTATTAATATTAAACATAATGTTATTGTGGGGGTTTTGAGATGAAGTCCCATTATCTTCACTGCTATTGTATGTTCTATTCACTCGTAAAATCTATATTGATTTTTCTACTATACTAGAACAATTTCTACGTCTTCCAGCTGGCTAAATTCTAGATAAATAAAAATAAGTCTTACAAAAATAATATATCAGGAACTGTTTCTGCATTACCTAACTCATTAAAAAACATAATTTTATTTTATGTCATACAAAATAAATCATATGAAAAAATTTTGTCCTATTTTCCCTAATAATAAGTTATACAAAAAAAATAAGTCATACAAAATTTGTAAATAATCATATTAAAAAATTTTTGTTCCAACTCCTACATAAAAAGTCATATGAAAAATATATATCGGGAATTATGTTTAATAACTTTCAGAGATCAGGAAATATAATAAAGATTTTTTGTCCTATAATAAGTCATACAAAAAAATTTATCCTAATTCCCACTCATAAGTCATACAAAAAATATATATCAGGAATTATATTTAGTGGCTTTCAGAGATTGAGAAATATAATAAAAAATATATCATATGAAATTTTGTTCTAATTCCCCTCAATAAATCATACAAAAAATATATAACAGAAACTATTTTGAAGGCAAGTTAGCCAAATAAATAGCATATCGATAACTTAAATCTAACTAAAATTTGCAATAAAATTATAGTCTTAAGTTTTTCATCAATAAATCTAACTTATCTTAATGCACTAATCTGTCATAATCCTGATCTTGGTTTAAAGCTTTAGCTTGTAATCTATTATAGTATTGGATCACATAATATCCCTTGATATGTAATAGATATTGTTCACAAGCAAAAGCAGTCAGCTTATCACAATCAGAGCAAGATACTCATTTTTTAGCTTTCCAATAAAATTGATATCTTTCAGGCTTAATACAAGTTCTTCCATAAGCCATTTCAAAGTTGCAGAGATAAGAATACAAACATTTACCAATTATTTTAATAAGTATAGGAATTAATTAATTAAAAAAAAATTTTATAAGTAATTAATAATGTGACCGTAAAAACTAACGATTTACCAAATGTCTGATGCTTATTCAGAATATATAAAAGAATTTAGTATAAAGATAGTTGATTTCAATCCAATTAGTCCTACAGCCTATATACCTTTACCTGAAACTATGTCAAAATGTAATAATGGAATTATTAATATTCAAAATAAGGATGACTGGTATTTCGGATGGTATGCTTTAGAAACTTGCATCTAGTTAAAGTTCATCCAAAAAGAAATCTACATCGGCTATATGAAGATTTCATAGAGGAACTTAATATGAATGACATTCCAATTCCAGTATTGGTCTTAATAACAGTTTATAAAAAGTTCGAAGAAAATAATCCTGAAATCAGTCTATCTATCTATGAATAGCACAACCAGAATGAGTGACTTGAATTTCGCTATGTTTCAAAAAGAAGAGGAAATGAAAACAAGCAAGTGAATCTTCTAGTAATTACAGAAGATGATAGAAGCTATTACTATATTATCAAATATTTACATAAGCTGGTATACAATCATAGCAAACATAAAGAGAAAAAGTACTTTTGTCATTATTGTCTTCATATATATTCTTCAGAGATAAGATATAATGAACATTTGTTAAAATGTAAGTGTCTAAATAATTCTTCTCAGTGATCATAAATTCCAGTAAAGGATAGGAGTATCAAGCTTTTTATAATCATAAATGCATACAATTAAATCCATATTGCATTTTCTGAAATCTGGAAATATTAACTGAAAAGCTAATTCTAGAAGAAAAAACGAAATTAACTAATACAGAAAGATTACAGATGTATAAACTATGTGATTATAACTATGTAATTGTTTGTATGTATGAATTGTTCACTTAACTACGAGATTACGAGTCATGATTTATAAAGAGAGTCAGATATGCTAGAAAGATTTGTTACAAAAATAGAAGAGAAGCTTTTAACCATCCAGGAAGATTTATCTGTACCAGCTGAAATAATCATGACATCTAAAAATCTTAAAGAGTACAATAAAGCAACTGAATACTGGATTTGTAAGAAACTTTTTTTAAAACCATTTCCAGAAGCATTGCAAAACTTCGAAGAAGTTAAATACAAATTACTAGAAATTAACAAATAGGAGGCAATTATAGGAGAAGACCATCTAGAAAAGAAAAAGATACAAAAAGAATACTAGGAAGCTTTAAGTAGGCTCAATTATAAGGTAAAAGATCATGATCATATAAATGGAAAGTATTGTGATCCTACTCATGATGCTTGTAATAAAAAGTTATAAATAGGTTCTTTTAAAACTAAAGTATCACTAATCTGTCATAATTTTCGAGGATATGACTCACATTCGCTTATAAAAGTTGTAAGAAAGTTCACAGCTGATAAGCTAAAATGCATCTCAGAAATATAGGAAAGTACAAAGCTATAGATGTAGGTCAACTTCAATTCTTAGATAGCTTTCAACACATAAGCATAGGCCTTGATAAGTTGGTTGAATGTCTAGGAAAAAAGATTAAAAATTTTCTCCTAATTGTTAAGTACTTTACAGAGAAAGGATATAGTATAAATAAAATTAAGCTTCTTTTCCAAAAGGGTGTCTTTCCTTATGACTGAAATAACTTATAGAACAGATTTGATTGAACAGAGCTTCCTTTTCGAAAATATATCGGTTACGAAGCTTTAATTGAATATTTTTAACACGTTTTCTTGAGTATTTCAGCGTCTAATGATCCGTTAGAAATGCAACACATATCATTTTGATGAGCGCATTTCGGCGAACACGATAGTGCAGATTTCACGATATTCTGATCGGTAGATCTCGAGATAATGGCCTTCGAAGCCAAAAATCAATTTTTCAACACATTTTCTTGAATATCTCTGCATTCAGTAATCCATTAGAAATTCAACACATATCGTTTTGATGAGCGCATCTCGGCGAACACGATGGTGCAGATTTCATGAAATTCTGATCGGTAGATCATTAGATAATAGCCTCCGAAACATTAATATAATTTTATTATTTTATTATTTATATAATCAGCAAATATATTTTGGGGGTTTTTATTTGACTCAACTCGACTTGACTCATTAGGAGCTTTACTTGAAGTTAGTTGCCAGAGGTTATTTGATATAATTATATCAAATAACCTTCAACGACTTGAGTTAGGTTATGTTATCGCCGTCATAGTCTAATGGTAGCGATATAATCTAATGGTGGTGATATGATCTAATGGTTATGATAGTGATTATGTAATCTAATGGTGGTGATATAATCTGATAGTGGTGATATAATCTAATAGTGGTTATATGATCTAATGTCATGATCTAGTGATGGCGTCATAACCTGATGTCGTATTCTAACATGACGTCATATTCTACATGTGGCTTCATAATCTATAGTTTGATTATCTTTACGGTTTTCTATCTACTATTTTATTTAATTCCTGCTATATAGTATTATGGTAGGTCAGTAGTATTATGATTTATTAGTGTTGTTACTATATAATCTAACAGTAGTGTTATAATCTGATGGAGTGTATTTTTCCACTTATTTATGACCTTTCTTTCATTAAGGAACTATTCATGTATTTACATTACTCTATATTCCTTTTTATTTCTAAAAAGCTATTCATTTATCTTACTTGCTTCTGGACCTGTTTGGTGGCATGATAAATTTGCGATTAATTTTGCCTGACTTTATGGTATAACTCTGGCCGATCTTTTGGGCATGTGATTTGGGAATCCAGCTTGGTGTCATTATGGTAACTTAATAGTATCCTGGAACTACTGTGGAGCTGTCATGGAACTGTCATAGAACTGGCGGAAAGCTAGATAGGTTTTATTAGTTTGCCAGTATTATGTCAGCTTGGGTGATGAATTATTATATCCAAAGTTCTGGCTGAATTTATATAATAGTGCTGATCGAAATTAAGCAAATTTATACTGCGCCTTACTGCATCATAGTTACATGATACTATTCTAGTGACAGAATACCCTCACATAGTTATGGGCTAGTGATGAGAATGTTCTGGGAATGTTTTCAGAACCTAATATATATGTATTTATGCCACATATTTTTGTATCCAGAATTGGAGATGCAATATGTATTATTTTGGTTCAGCCTATTTAATTACTAGAAGTACACCATTTTGCAATCCAACTATTGCCTATTTGTTATCAGCATATTAGCAGGATATTATAAGGACTTTTAAGGCCTGATCATGGTTTAATTTGGATTAAGGCAATGAGTATGTTATTTTTTTGCTGTCCTTATAAAATTAATACCAAATTTTCATGGGGTAATTCATAAGGTCAACCTTGATATCATTTTTGAGCTTCTTACCTTGTTTTATTGAATTCTTTATTATCTGTTCTTAAGAACCTTATCAACCCTAAGAAATTTTAAAGTTCT